ATGTCTACACTGTATTTCAATTCAATTCAATTTTATTTCAAATCACAGTTTCTAAAGATGAACATGCTGCGCTTTTTATAAAAGAGCTGGTCTAGACCGTGACACTGTGATTTTATTTACAGAAACCCAACAGTTCCCACCAAGAGCAGCACTAGGCGACAGAGGCAAGGAAAAACTTCCTTTTAAGAGGCAGAAACCTCGAGCAGAACCATGACTCAGGGTGGGCGGCCATCTGCCTCGACCGGTTGGGGGTGAAGGAGAGAGAGAGAGAGAGAGAGGGCAGGAGAGGAACAGAGAAAAAAAGAGAGGGATGTAAGGAGAGAGAGAGGGGAGGGAGGCAGCCTACACAAAATACACACAGAGGTACAGACAGTGAAGGTAATGTTGCTATAGACTAAATGAAAAATGCTACAGATATTTATAGTAGTTTAAATGATAACAATCGTAATGTTAATGATTATAATAACAATAATAACAATAAGACTAGCAACAATAGTCGTTGCAGCAGAGGGTGTCGAGCAGGAGCACGGGGGCAGCAGGTGACCCGCAACCACAGATCCAGACTCCACAGCTCCAGAGCCAGAAAACCTGCAGGAAGTGATAGGAGGAGAGAGGAGAGAGACGAGAAAGCACAAGACTACCAGAAAGGGGAGAAGTTGTGTTAGTAACATGCAATAATGGGATGAGGTTGCATACAGAGGGAGAGAAAGTAGAGGAGAGAGGAGCTCAGTGCATCATGGGAAATCCCCCGGCAGTCTAGGGCTATAGCAGCATAACTAAGGGATGGTTCAGGACTCACCTGAGCCAGCCCTAACTATAAGCTTTATCAAAGAGGAAAGTCTTAAGCCTACTCTTAAATGTGGAGATGGTGTCTGCCTCCTGAACCCAAACTGGAACCTGGTTCCACAGGAGAGGAGCTTGATAGCTGAACGCTCTGGCTCCTAGTCTACTTTTGGAGACTCTAGGAACCACAAGTAACCCTGCATTCTGGGAGCGCAGTGCTCTGGTGGGGTAGTAAGGTACTATGAGCTCTTTAAGATAAGATTTTACTGGAAGCCAATGCAAAGAAGCTAAAACAGGAGAAATGTGATCTCTTTTCCTGGTTCCTGTCAGAACACGTGCTGCAGCATTCTGGATTCTGGATTCTTGAAGAGTCTTAATGGACTTTTTCAAGCAGCCTGATAATAAGGAATTGCAGTAATCCAGCCTAGAAGTAACAAATGCATGGACTAGTTTTTCTGCTTAATTTTTTAGACAAGATGTTCCTGATTTTTGCAATATTACGTAGGTGAAAAAAGAAATTTGCTTAATGTGAGACTTAAACGACATGTCCTGATCAAACATAACTCACAGTGTTGCTGGAGGCCAGGCCGATGCCATCAAGGGAAACTTTATTTCTGATCAATCTAATGTTATTTTAATGGACAAAAACTTTTCTTTTGAAAACAAGGACATTTCTAAGTGACCCCAAACTGTTGAATGGTAATGTAGGCAACTTTCAAAATAAAAGTGCTAGTTCACGTGTGAAAGGGAAGGTTTTTTAGGCTGCTGGATCAGAGCTTAAGTAGCGCATTTTAAAATTTATTTAACCCCAACAAAACTACGGAACTACGGGATAAATTTTGTCCCCACCGGAGATGAAAGTTATTCAGCAGAGGCAGGGATATAGAAACCAGAAGGGGGGAAATCCCACGCATCCCCCCGAATACTCCCTCTGGACACCTTCATGGCAAAAATATACATGCACATAAAATTACTATAAAATTATTATACGTCAATATTCTTTTAGTTATTACTTAAACAACTTCTCTCCTGCTCAAAACTACCAAACATTTAATAATTTTCATTATTTTAACCCTTTAAATGCCAGTTTAATTATTTGAATTATTAATTATTTATTACAATTTTTTATTATTATTATTTTCATTAAAATAAACAGTAGGGGATAGGGCTCTGAGTCTTGGATATGTCAAAGATTACCAAGAAATGTATTTAATGGCACTAGTATTTTTGTCTGCTTTTTTTCCATAAATCACTTAAGCATCTTATTCCCCATTAAAAAGACCAAATATTCAATCATTGTCAGGATTTTAACCCTTTAAATGCCAGTTTATTTTTTTTTAGAGATTTGCGAGATGCTCCCTCTGGAGACCTTTGTGGCAAAAAAGGCCTCATTCACTTCCATTCAAACCACACTTTTTGATTTCACTTCCATGACAGTATAAAACCATGCATTCTGTAATGTAAGCAATATAGAAGAAAAATAGTTATAGTTGACATTTTTACTGTATTCTACTACATTCAACCTTTTCCCATTGTAGGCCGATGCATGAAATTCTTGTATTTTTGTATTTTGACATATTAAGGAGCCATGTGACCACCAGTTTTTTATTTATTTATATTTTTGCCACAAAGGTGTCCAGAGGGTGTAAAACTGTAAATCTAATACTACATAATAAATACTAATGCAATCAAATCAATTTAGTTGGTAATCTTTGACACATCCAAGACTCTAATTACCACCAAAGCCCCATCCCCCTACTATTTTTTGTAATAAATAATAATAATAATAATAAAGAAGAAGAATAGAACTCTTCTTCTTTGTCGTCATGATAAGGGGTTTGTTGTCTGAGTTGATTCACTGGCGGCTCCTCAGTGAGCGAGCTTCCTAGCGAGCTAACCAGCTGATGTTATGGACAAAGTTTTTAATGCAGAGCAGTAAACCTCACAAAGAGGAGCAGCTTCAGACAGTGAACCACGGACAAGCGAGTCCGCAGTTGTAACACTTGAGTTAAGTGACTGGCTAGCAAGTAAGATGTTATTGTGTGAAATTAGCTTGTTATTAGAGTTAGGCGGATGATTCGGAAGCTTGTTTCCCTCCTGTGAAGTTCAGTTTTATGCAATAGCTCACGACAGTCGTTGTATATGATTAAAGCTGTAGCAGAGTAGCATATAGCATTAGCTCCTTAGCCTGAACTAACTACTGGTTGCAGCTTCTTTTCCGGCCAGAAACAGCTAATGCATACATGTATAGCTCCAAAAACTGCAATAAATGCAATGAAAAGGACATAAACCGGGAGACTTGTGACCCTGGGAGAAAAATGGGGAATGGCAATGCAAAACGTGAGCTTCCCGCAAAAATCGTGACAGTTAGCAGCTACTGCTTCGCTGAGTGTGAAGTGGTCAAGATGAGAGTCAGCACCTCCAAGTCTGAAGTCATGGTTCTCTGCTGGAAAACGTTTTATTGCTCTCTCCGAGTTGGGGGTGAGATGTTGCCCCAGGTGAGTTTAAGGGTTTTGTTCAACAATGAGGGTAAAATGGAGCATAAAATGGAGACTGAGATCAAGGCAGATTGGTGAGGTGTCAGCAGTCATGCAGACGTTGTACCAGACCGCTGTGATGAAGAGGGAGCTGAGGCTGGAGGCAAACTTTGTGTATGGATTTGTTTCATATTAAAGGGACTTGGGTCGCTGGTCGGAACAGCGTCTGCATGCCTCTCTGTATGCAAACTTAAGGATCATATGGAGATTAAAGTGAAATTCATTTCATTTGGAGATGTTTTTGTTGTTGTTAGAGCAGCTTATAACTGCTCAGAATTGGAAGTTTATGGTCAAAAACATTGAACTGTAGTCTTTACTGAACAGTGACCCACTGACCTGGCAAATGTCAGGTCACATGATTTGTCTCAAAACTTTTAATTTAGCTAAATGCTTAATATATCTGTTTGACATGTTGAAGGTCAGATCTGATGTGTTACCAATTTTCATGTGAATCCTCCCACAGTGTTTCATTAGCAGCTGATAAACCAGGATTTAGCAGAATCCATCTGATATGAAGCTGTGGTTTGAATACCACTTCCCTCCTCTTTGAAGAGTAGTCAGATATCTGTGTTCAGCCTCTTCTACACTTTGTATCACTGTGTTTCTAGAGCACAGTAGTAAAGAGCTGTGTCTGCGAGGGTTAGCTCATTTTTACAAGATGATTAAAACAGGACGTGCTTTCTATCAGAGCAAAGCAATCAGAAAAGTTATGAAATATATGTTGTGTATATCTGGTTAATACAGCAGGTTAATGAGACTTTCATCTCTCTTCCAACACTCACCTATAAAGTGAGAGAAAAGTAAATAGAGATAAAGCAACATGTCTTTGGACCCTCCCGCTGCCTCGAGCGGGTCAAAATGACTCCGGCTTCCCTCTCTCCCTTGTCTTTAAACAAACTGGGTCAAATAGGGACACCCCTGTCTTCCCCATCTGTCCGACAACTTGCGGGATATTCAGTCTCTGTGCACTGTTCAGATCGGGTAAAAGAGACGCTTTGAAACAAAACCTTATGACTTTGGCTCCCCGAGCGCTGTCCTGAAGTCAAAACGTACCTCTTCTGAAACAGATACCAAATCAAGCCAAACAAACAAAACAAAACAACAACCGCAGGGAATGCACATACTGCGTAATGAGTAATGACAAATACACACACAGCGCCACGGTGGCTCAGTGGATAGCACGGTGGCCCGGGTTCAAACCCCGGTCACCACCTTTCTGTGTGGAGTTTGCATGTTCTCCCCGTGTCTGCGTGGGTTTCCTCCGGGTGCTCCGGTTTCCCCCACCATCAAAAACATATGTGACAAATTAAGTCCCTTTACATGACTATTGTTATTACCCTCAGCAAGAGGTCCAAAGAAAATAAGCCTAGTAATAATAAAAAGAAAAAGAACACGTCCCGATTGATCGTACAAGAGTTTAGCAGTAATCATCCCCAAAAACGCTCCAGCAACACAACCGAAAAAGCCATGAGTGTCCAAGACCTCGGGGAGCACGAAGACAACTGGTACAATGACGAATACGCGTCGGACAAAGACGACCACAAGTTCCAGGATGAGGAGACTGATCACAATCACAAAGAAGAAAAAGATGAACAAGATGAGCAAGAAGACAAATCAGAGAGTCAGACAGTCGGTCCTGAAATCAAAGGAAACCTCCTCACCTGTGACAGAGATCCAGCTGGATGGAGACTCTCCACGACCGCTGATGTTACACTTGTAGAGGCCTTCATCAGACTTGTTAACATGGTGGATGGTCATGTGACCTGTAGGCTCAGTCCTGATGAGGGAGCCATCTTTATAGAAACCAGCTGGGAGGTTGGAGGGAGAGGTCTTTGTTTTACAGTGCAGAGTGACATCATGTCCCTCCATCACAGGGAGGACAGGACTCTGCAGGATCACTGGTCCACCTCAACACAGAGACAAACTACAGCATTTCATCATTTACACACAGCTTCATCAACACTAACTCCACAGTCTGATCTTACCAGTGACAGTGATGTTGATGGTGTTACTGGTTGCTCCCTCTCTGGACTCACACCAGTAAACTCCACTGTCCACTGGGTCGATGTAGCCGATGTTACAGGAAGAACCAGCTGATCTTCCCCAGCCAGCTCCACACTGAGTCCTGGTTTCTGTGGTTGTGTTCCTCCTCAGCGTCCATCCAGCAGAGCTGTCGTCGTCCTCACAGCTCAGAGAGACAAACTGTCCTTCAAACAGCTGAGAGCTGCTGGGACTCACAGTCAGAGAGGCTGGAGGGGATAAGTTACATTTTATGTGTCACATTAAAAGCTTGACACTTTGTTGGTAAGTAATGAAAATACCATCAACTTATCCTTTATTTCAATTCTATTGTTGAACAGAATTTAGTTTGAATTTAGGGAGGAATTGATGAAGTCCAGCAGCTTTCAGCACCCGACGTCCCACAGCTGTGTCTGCGACGAAGTCTCAGTGTCTGTCCTGTTTCGGCCGTTAAATTGCATTGTTGAGCTGCATTCAGACCAAACGCAAATTTAATCCTCACAACGATTTCCTTGTGGGATTTCATCGCCGGACAGTAGTACTACAGTGTCCAACCGACACTCAACAACAACAGTGGAAGCGGATATGCACAGAAAATTGCTGCCGAGAAGCTCCAGTGAAAATAAATCAACATTATAATCCCAAAAACTAAAGTAAAAGCTAATTTAATAAAAGTAGTTTACTCCGAGCTCCTCCCGCAAGCAAACGGCGTAATCCAGAATCCAGACTGACTACAGGTGTTTATTTGTCCAAAAGCTGCAGAGCTGCTCTGTGTTTGTGTTCAAACTCTTTACAGAACATATTTTATTTGACTTTTTACCAGAAAGCATTTTGCGAACAGCTTTGAGTGTCAGAGTTCACTCACCTCCGCTGGTCCTGCAGCTCAGCAGAGAGATCAGCACTGAAGAGAAACCAGAGATTTAACATAAAACCAGACCAGACAGAGAACTGAAAAACTTCCTGCTCCAAAAATACAGCAAAATCCTCCAACCCTAAATGAACGTACTGTTTGTTTGTGGATATTAGATGTCTCAATAGTATTTATATAATATCTATAAGAATAACATTTCTGAAACACTTTAGTGGAAGAAAAGTTAAATATTGATGAATTCTGCTTCATTTTTAAAGTAAGTATTTAAAAACGTCTGTTTGAATAAAGGGGAAAAAATACGTTGCAGGCTCTGTGATGTCCACTCTGGTGATCGTCTATTCTGCTCTTTGAGATGTAGGCTTGGTCATTTCATTTCTGTAGCCTCATAATGGTTGCTGCACCTGCTGCGGTGCCAAAGACTTTTTATTTATTGTCAGGTTTTTACTCTTTTCAGGTAAATTCTAAAATGATGCAAAAGTTATTTAAACTGTTGAACAATGAATGTGTTTGATCACCACATTAGTCAGTTTGCTGCATCTTTGTCTATTTAGGCTCTAGTTTATTGATACTTTCCCCTGTGGTGATCAATAAAGTCTAACGTGTGAATAATAACAGTTTAGAGTTATTTCAGTTTTGGCTGATTTTACTTACAGAGCAGAAAAGATGTCCCATTGCACCACCACTCAGTCAGTCCAGTTAAACTCTCCTCCTTCTTTGTAGAGGGAAGTGACTGTTTGGTTTTCTCTCCTTCATTCAGTCTTTTTTTTTGACATGGAGGAGACATGGGGCCCTACACAAAGTGTTTACATGCAGGAAATGACAGCGCTGCAGGATTAACATGAAGTTGGGCTGATCTGAGATCACTGAGAGACAGATTCATTAGAGAGAAGAAGTTTGGATCAAACCTTCCTGGGTTTCTCTCTTACTTCTGTTTTTGTTGTTGCAGTGACACAGATGTCCTGCAGGAGTCAGTAACGAGTTTTCACTGTGCAACTAAACTCTGGTTCATCTCTGATCATTGTGATCAGTTCACCTCAACTGCTCTTTTCAACATGAATGGGGCAGCGGCTGTAGTCCGAGCTCCCTCATGAAGTCTGAGCCCTGAACCCTCATCTCTCTCATGGAGACATGAGATGAGTCTGTCTGTCGACCTGCTGGCTGCAGAGTAACTCTGCTGACATCTGGTGGTTTAAAACAAACTCACACATTCTGGGAATCAACCTGACTTCCTGGAAATCAGCTTTATTTAAAGACTGAGTCACTTGCATCTTGAAAGAAGAAGAAACTGGTGCATTGGAATTAATACTCCCTGAATTGTGTTATTTAATGTGTTTTCAGTTACAGGGTAGGATTTTCTTGTTATTTTGTCCAAGCATGTTTGTTCTTACATATTCTTAATATCTGAACATGAGAGGCTTCACACAGGTTCTGTTTACTGCCAGCAGTGCTCAGATATCTGTGATCAGGGAAACATTACTATACAGACGCAGTAACAATCAAAGGTAAAGTTTCTTGAAGGTCTTAAGCATAATCTGATCCATAAAAGGCCACTTCTTCAGTCCCAGTCCGCCCCTGATAGTAGGCCTACTCATTTATCACAGCTAGATGCTTTAGTTGTAACTGTTGAGCGCTGATTCAGTTTAAAACATTTTAAAACATTGTGGACGTCGATACAAAGCTCACAGAATGGTGAGAAAAATAACAACATAGTCTCTGATGGATGTTGCGTTTGTGCTGTGTGAGTCTGTGTGTCTCCTTTCTACAGAGAAAAAGAGAGTATTGTTGGTTTGGACATCAGGGGCCTGTACCACGAAGCAGGATTTCAGTTTGGACTACCCACCACATCTGTAATCTGTGTTAATGATGAGAAGTAGGATATTAATACACACCGCTTCATAAAACATGTTTAGATTTCCTCCTGATTTGTTCCACTGTGGCTGCAATGAAGTCCTGAACACAACAGCATCACGTTCAGACAGCGAGCCCTGCAGCCTCTGTGATTTTAGAGAGGAGACCTTAATTAATTAACGGGACAGTTTCTTAGATGTAGCCCATCTGTCTATAATTGAATTCTCCTGAGTGTTTTCACATATTTAGATTATTTTACGTGTCCAAAACATACAGATCCAGGGTGAGAAAAACATATCCTAGATGAAAGTGACAAGAACATAAATTGGAAATTCCCTGAAATTAAAGTCACAAAAAATCAAAAATCACTCTAGTGTTTTCTTCTGAATATGTCCAATCCACGGCAAAGTGTCTAAGGTGCATGATCGTGATTGTGCGATAAACTCAGGAGTATTTCCTCACTGCTAAATCCAATTGCAAAGTCTAACATAATTTTATTAATTATTAATTTGAATAATTTTCCACTGCATAGCCTACTACACGACAGACACGCATGTGTGATGTTGCAGACTTGCAAAGTGAAGTTTCTCTCATAAATGTGTGACTATAATGTCAGAGAATATTCAAGTTTTTTACTTGTAGATTAATCTTGGAAATTAAATTCTGTCTGGATTATTCCCCTCTCTGCTGGCTCCTTTTTTTTCTATTACAATGGACCTTATGTGCAGTTTCATCTTTACATCTTAATATTATACATAAAAGAAGAGCCCATAAATACATAATAGAGATTTTAACTACAAAAAGAACACTGTGAAGATAATTAGGCTACAAATTTACTCCATGCAATGCCAAGAAGCCTCCCTGGCTTTGTCATCCGATTTAGCCATTAACGTGTCTTTACAGTCATCATCTGACACAATCAACGTGCGTTCTCCTGGAGAAATACGGAGCATGCACCGTTGCGAAAAAACTCTGCCTGCAGGGCTGAACACACCCTTTTCATGCGAACACGCACCAACTCCAATTAAGTCCCTGTTGCTTCCTTGTTGCTTGAGTATTCTGTCCCGCCTCTCTGTTTCCCTCATCATTGGATAACTCTGCCTTCTTGAATTTACCCCATTTGTTTGGACATTTGGGTCCACACCTCCAGCTAACCTGCAACTGCACTCAGCCTTAACCTTGATAAAAAGTCCAGTGAGCTCTGTCTGATATGTGCTGGGTCCAGGCTACAAGGAAAATAGCACTCATGACTCTTCCCAGGACAAACCCGGGCCCAGTGTGCTGGTAGTCTTCTCCATCCCTGTCTTGATAGGTGACAGAAAAAGCCTGGTGAATGTGTTAAGAAACAGGAAGCACTCAAATATCCTGCAAGTTTAGTATTGATTCCTCGTCAGCCGCAGCCTGTCGCAAAAAGTGGCCAGATAATGTTTTTAACACACTAAATTTATCTTCATTGAACATATTTGGCAGGAAAAAATGTAATCAAGGATTTTATGATCATCTTAGTTACATGTTTTTAACTGAAACTTGGTTGGACCAAGACAACAAACCTTTTTGATGACTTTGGTGAACTGCTGTTGTCGTGGCGTCTCTTTCAGTTGTCGTGATGTTCCTCCTGACTTCCAATAGATTATCCTACATTACGGTCACTAATAGAGTAGAAAGAATACCTTTTTGGACCTGACAACGCCACCTCCTGGTAAGGGCAGGAGGAACCCTTTAAAACCCTTGGTATAAGATTGTGTGTCGCGAACTCTGATTTACCCCGAACAGGAACAATTACAAAGACGAATACATTGTACAAAAGTGAGTAGATTTTATTACAAAGTATATTGTTAAACGGCATGAGTAAAATTAGCCTGACACTAAATTGGTTGGAGTTATTCTCCTCAGGGTAGGAAGGTCAGGTCGGCTCGTACACACCACCCCGATCAGCGACTGTGGGAGACAGAAGAGGGAGACAGCAGACCCAATGCAAAGAAGTACATGCACTATCCACTTAACATCTAAACTATTCACTACAAAATACCATGCAGTGTGAGTGTTGAGTAAACACACACTACAGAATCTCCCCCGGTGCAGTCTCACCACAGACACGGACGCAGCCTTGTACAGAGTCAAGCTGTGGATGTACAGAGAGAGGAGAGCAACCTGTATTTAAACCACCATCCAAACTATGAACCCCAGTAGAGGCCCAGTATGGAACATCAATTCCAGTCCCAGCGGGGCACTAAACCGAGCAACAGACACCTTAACACTGGACTGGAAAACAAATTAAGAAACAAAGATAAAACAATAGAAAACAGTGGCTGGCCTGGTCCACCTTTAAAAACAAACAAAGGACATTAGTTGCAAGATCCAAAATTACATTTGCCTCGCATGTAATTAAGTTGAGATTAAATATAAGCCTACTTTGCAGGGTTACACAAAGTCCTGTAGCACA